GGTCCGGTCCTGATCCAGACTCCGGTCCTGATCCAGACTCCGGTCCTGATCCAGACTCCGGTCCTGACACAGACTCCGGTCCTGACCCAGACTCCGGTCCTGATCCAGACTCCGGTCCTGACCCAGACTCCGGTCCTGACACAGACTCCGGTCCTGACACAGACTCCGGTCCTGATCCAGACTCCGGTCCTGACACAGACTCCGGTCCTGATCCAGACTCCGGTCCTGATCCAGACTCCGGTCCTGACACAGACTCCGGTCCTGACCCAGACTCCGGTCCTGATCCAGACTCCGGTCCTGATCCAGACTCCGGTCCTGATCCAGACTCCGGTCCTGACCCAGACTCTGATCCTGACCCAGACTCCGGTCCTGACCCAGACTCCGGTCCTGACACAGACTCCGGTCCTGACACAGACTCCGGTCCTGACCCAGACTCCGGTCCTGACACAGACTCCGGTCCTGACACAGACTCCGGTCCTGATCCAGACTCCGGTCCTGACACAGACTCCGGTCCTGACACAGACTCCGGTCCTGACACAGACTCCGGTCCTGACCCAGACTCTGGTCCTGACACAGACTCTTGTTCAGGCTCTTTCTTCTCTTGGTCCATTAATTCTACTTTTATTAATAAAAACTAAAGTGACGCTTCCTCAAACTTGAGTCAAATATTAAAACATTAAAACAATTAAAAAATCCAAAAAGTGCAAAAATCCAGTTTTTATCACATTTGTCACATTTGTTTTTTCAGGATTTCAGAATCTCCGTTTGTTCTCGGGTTAAAGGGAAAAACACACACACGACTTAAAGTGGACTTCAGACCAGAGTGTGTTTAATGTGTGTGTGTGTTTAGTGTGTGTGTGTGTGTGTGTGTGTGTGTTTAGTCCAGACAGATAAACACACAGGAGCTCAGACACGTGTGTGAAATGTCCTCTTCTTCTTCTTCTTCTTCTTCTCTGTTTTCGCTCGACATTATTGTTCTGATCGACAAAATTCTGATGAGTTTAATGTTTTTTTATCGTTGTAAAAGTTTTAAAGTCGACGTGTGTGTATAAACACACAGATGAACACACAGATAAACACACTCACTGACTTCAAACTGTTTTTTCTCAGATTCCACCGAGTCGTGTCCTTTAGTCTGACAGTGAGTTACGAGTCGCGTCTGTGGACTTGGGTTGTGAAGATTTGTGACTTTGAAAATCTGGATCCTGACACACACACACACACACACACACACAAACCCTGCCCTGTGGAACTTTTCTGTTGGGCGTCCGTCACCTGTTTGTTTCCATGGAGACGTCCCTGTTCTGTCTGGAATGTTCCGCAGTGTGACTTTAATCAGCTCCACTTCACATTTACTCAAGTCACAGGACGATTTAGAGTCAAAAAACACAGACAGACACTGTGTGTGTGTGTGTGTCTGTGTCTGTGTCTGTGTGTGTGTGTGTCTGTGTCTGTGTGTGTGTGTGTGTGTCTGTGTCTGTGTGTGTGTCTGTGTGTGTGTGTGTGTCTGTGTGTGTGTGTGTGTGTGTGTGTGTGTGTCTGTGTCTGTGTCTGTGTTAGAGGTAAGATCTTAAGACCGAGCCCAAGCCCGACCCGACGGGCCTAAAATGTCAATCATTACTTCGGGTCGGGCTCGGGCTTCAAATAAATATATGTTTATAAAATGTTTGCTAAAACGATGTGTGGATACTAAAGTAAGGAATACTTGTTATAAAATAAATAATATGGATAAAACAGAGAAGTAATGTAATGTAATTGCTATTTAACTACTAAACAGGATCACGTGACGCCCCCTCTTCATTTAATCATCTTCCCCTCCGCAAGTCTGCATCTATTTTGACCTGGTGTCCCCAATATGGAGGAGCAAGAAGTTCAACTAAAGGCAGGAGAACTGAAAAGACAAACACGCACCGGTAAGAGTGAGGTGTGGAAAAGTGAAAATTGATTGTTGAAAATGCTACAGAAACTTGCGTTGGCTTCGCTGAATGTGTCAATGTGGCTTTGCTTCATACGAGAGCAAAAAGACCTCGACGCTGAGCACTGCTCCTCCTCCCGAGTCACTAATAAAATATGACATTTCAGGTTTGCTTCAGGCTCGGGTCGGGTCGGGCTGGATTTTTTAGGCCCGATCTCACCTCTAGTCTGTGTGTATGTGTGTGTGTGTGTGTGTGTGTGTGTGTGTGTGTGTGTGTGTGTGTGTGTGTGTGTGTGTGTGTGTGTGTGTGTGTGTGTGTGTGTGTGTGTGTGTCTGTGTGTGTGTGTGTGTGTGTGTGTGTGTGTGTGTGTCTGTGTGTGTGTGTGTGTGTGTGTGTGTGTGTGTGTGTGTGTCTGTGTGTGTGTGTCTGTGTGTGTGTGTGTGTGTGTGTGTGTGTGTGTCTGTGTGTGTGTGTGTGTGTGTCTGTGTGTGTGTGTGTGTGTGTGTGTGTGTGTGTGTGTGTGTGTGTGTGTGTGTGTGTGTGTGTGTGTGTGTGTGTGTGTGTGTGTGTGTGTGTGTGTCTGTGTGTGTGTGTGTCTGTGTGTGTGTGTGTGTGTGTCTGTGTGTGTGTGTATGTGTGTGAGCGGAGTCGCCTCTCCACAGATCTGACCTGTGACTGTGTCCTGGTTTCCATGGAGACAGAAAGGTTTAATGCCGCACTGACTCACTGACCACACTGTTTAATGCCACAGAGAAAAAAGCCACAGCGTCTCCATGGAGACCAGCGTCTGACGAGCCTCCAGCAGGAAAGTTCCACAGTGAAGCTTTAAACATATGGATCTGATGATGTCACTCCACACGCAGCCATATATGGACATATCCTGTCTACGCTCACACACAGACTGAAGGGTCATCTCGGGGTCACTGCGGGGTCATCTCGGGGTCACTGTGGGGTCATCTCGGGGTCATCTCGGGTCACTGGGGTCACTGTGGGGTCATCTTGGGGTCACTGTGGGGTCATCTCGGGGTCACTGTGGGTCATCTCGGGGTCACTGTGGGGTCATCTCGGGGTCACTGCGGGGTCATCTCGGGGTCACTGTGGGGTCATCTCGGGGTCACTGTGGGGTCACTCGGGGTCACTGGGGTCATCTCGGGGTCACTGGGTCACTGGGGGTCACTGTGGGGTCATCTCGGGGTCACTGTGGGGTCATCTCGGGTCACTGTCACTGTGGGGTCACTGGGTCGGGTCATCTCGGGGTCACTGTGGGTCATCTCGGGGTCACTGTGGGGTCATCTCGGGGTCACTGTGGGGTCACTGTGGGGTCATCTCGGGGTCATCTCGGGGTCATCTCGGGGTCACTGTGGGGTCACTGTGGGGTCATCTCGGGGTCATACCAGGCAGGTGTGCTGTTTGTCCAGCAGCTCCGTGTCCGGGGGCAGGTCCTGGGTTCCTCCTGCAGGCGGCGCTGTGGGGGGGGGGTGTCTGGGGGGGGGGTGGTGCAGCTCCACCACCAGTTTGTAGAGTCCAGTCCCCACGACCGCCCCGACACAGGGCGCCACCACCGGCACCCACCACCACCCGCCGCCCGCCCTGACCACAGACAGACAGAGAGAGAGAGACAGAGAGTCAGGATCTTCTGAAGAGAACAAACCAAACAGAACATCACACAAGAACAAACAACTCAAGAGAAAAGTCCAGGAAGAACAGAGGAGGAGATGATGAGAGGAGGAGAGAGAAGAGAGGAGTGAAGGAGGAGAGAGAAGAGAGGAGGAGAGAGAGAGAGAGGAGAGAGTGAAGGAGGAGAGAGAGAGAGAGAGAAGAGAGGAGTGAAGGAGGAGAGAGAGGAGGAGAAGGAGGAGGAGAGAGAAGAGAGGAGTGAAGGAGGAGGAGAGAGAGAAGAGAGGAGTGAAGGAGAGAGAGAGAGAGAGAGGAGGAGAGAGAGTGAAGGAGAGAGAGAGAAGAGGAGTATTTGGTCGTGTCCTGGTGAAACAGGAGAGCGGTGAATGATTGACAGGTGACCTGGACCAGACTCCACAGTCTCTGTTTAGTTTCTGATAAACGAGTCAGACCAGAGTCAGACCAGAGTCAGACAGAGTCAGACCAGAGTCAGACCAGGACACAATCTGAGTCCTGAGTGACGTCAGCGTCGGCTCCAGATGAGGCTCATCGGGGGCAGCAGTTCCTGGAGTTCAGTTTCATATTTAAATTTTGCCCCCGAGCGTCATAGCAACCAAAGAACCAATCAGGAGAGAGACTGTGGAAGGGAACGCCCTTTCACTTAGCAACGCTGTCAATCAAACCTGTTGCTAGCGCTGGTGGGCGGGGCCTAGTGGGAGGGGAAAGTAAGCGCCTGATTGGTCAGTTATTAATGTTGATGAATTTATAATCTCTGTTCACGCGTCCGTCACAAACCAGAAACATTTGGAAACATGAAACTTCTTTTGGTTCTGTATGGAGTAAGAAGCTGTCAAAAATATTCATAAAATCTGTGCATATTGAATAAAACTCGAATCGTGTAATCAAAATATACAACGTCATGAATTAAAATCACCAAATGAAAATTTACGATTACACTTTCATCAGTACGAATACGAATTCACAGACGGAACTTTACTGTCAAAAATACGTCATCACTTCACAGACATTATCCATCGAGCAGAAGAAACATCGATCAAGATCAAGACTGAGCAGCTCAAGTTTGTATCAGAGTAAAAACAGAGTAAAAGCACAAGAAGCTACAACAGAACAACAAGTGGGTTCATTCAAATCTATTGTAAAAATGTCTTGAATTCGGGAACCGAACGCTGCTGTATAATATTGTGTAGAAACACCTCCTCTGAACGGGAAACTGCACCTATATGTTAGAAAACATAGTGGAGCCAGTTGGAAACATCAGACGTAACGTTCTCCCAGGATCATTAACAAATATCAGGTTCTCTGTGTGTTTAGATTAAAACATTCACGACTCCAGCCACAGCGAACATCAGTCAGTCTGAACCTTCAGCTGCATTTCAGACAATGGGTTTTTCATGAGTTATAATGGGTTATACATGAGTTATAATGGTTATACATGAGTTATAATGGTTATACATGAGTTATAATGGTTTATACATGAGTTATAATGGTTATACATGAGTTATAATGGGTTATACATGAGTTATAATGGTTATACATGAGTTATAATGGGTTATACATGAGTTATAATGGGTTATACATGAGTTATAATGGGTTATACATGAGTTATAATGGGTTATACATGAGTTATAATGGGTATATGGGTTATACATACATGAGTTATAATGGGTTATACATGTGTTATAATGGGTTATACATGTGTTATAATGGGTTATACATGAGTTATAATGGGTTATACATGTGTTATAATGGGTTATACATGAGTTATAATGGGTTATACATGAGTTATAATGGGTTATACATGAGTTATAATGGGTTATACATGATAGTTATAATGGTTATAATGGGTTATAATGGTTATAATGTTTATACATGAGTTATAATGGGTTATACATGAGTTATAATGGGTTATACATGAGTTATAATGGTTATACATGTTATAATGTTATACTGAGTTATAATGGGTTATAATGAGCAAATCCATCCACGTCACACGGTGACGTTAAACTTACGGTAAATACTGTAAACATACCAAGGTGTTGCCTGTAAACACCAACATTAATTGATGCTGAAGCTGCATTAAAGTGTAATGTGTAACATTTCATTGGCTGTGACGTCTGTAACCAGGACAGTTTGGTGTTTGGTGTAAACTGGGACATTTCAGCGTCCAGAGGAACTTTTGGTGGCATTTCATGCGAGAAATGCAGCTGAAGGTTCAGACTGACTGATGTTCGCTGTGGCTGTAGTCGTGAATGTTTTAATCTAAACATACAGAGAACCTGATATTTGTTAATGATCCTGGGAGAACGTTACGTCTGATGTTTCCAACTGGCTCCACTATGTTTTCTAACATATAGGTGCAGTTTCCCGTTCAGAGGAGGTGTTTCTACACAATATTATACAGCAGCGTTCGGTTCCCGAATTCAAGACATTTTTACAATAGATTTTAATGAACCCACTTGTTGTTCTGTTGTTTCTTCTTGTGCTTTTACTCTGTTTTTACTCTGATACAAACTTGAGCTGCTCAGTCTTGATCTTGATCGATGTTTCTTCTGCTCGATGAATAATGTCTGTGAAGTGATGATGTATTTTTGACAGTAAAGTTCCGTCAGTGAATTCGTAATCGTAAATTTTCATTTGGTGATTGTAATTCATGACGTCGTAATTTTTCAATTCGTATTCTGATGGATAAAATACACACAATATATTTGATGTACGACTGGACTCATTTGAGAGTTTACAAATATTTATTTTATGCGCAACTACAGACAAATACGCACGGATTTCTATTTTATGCGCACGGAATATTTTTGACAGCTTCTTACTCCATAGTTCTGTTCCTGTCGCCGTCGTAAAACAAATGAGAAGAGAAATGAGAAAAAGTCCCAGTTTCTTCATCTCCACGTCATTGTGTCGTTTCGTTATGTTCCGACGCAAAACTTTCCCAGGAAGTTGCCGAGCGGCGCGTAACATGTAACATGTAACACGTAACATAAACGTAACACGTAACACATGTAACACGCAACATGTAACACGTAACACGTTTATATATACCATGCAACACATCACATGTAACATCCAGCACGTCACATGTAACATGTAACATGTAACATGTAACATGTAACATGTAACACGTTACACACCATTTTCCTTGGACGGCAAGACTCAGAACTCAGTGGAGGAAAAAGTCGACCGAGCAAAGATTCTGTGTCACTGCAGTACTTTACTGTGTCACTGCAGTACTTTACTGTGTCACTGCAGTACTTTACTGTATCACTGCAGTACTTTACTGTGTCACTGCAGTACTTTACTGTATCACTGCAGTACTTTACTGTATCACTGCAGTACTTTACTGTATCACTGCAGTACTTTACTGTACTTCACTGCAGTACTTTACTGTGTACTCACTGCAGTACTTTACTGTGTACTCACTGCAGTACTTTACTGTGTCACTGCAGTACTTTACTGTATCACTGCAGTACTTTACTCTGTCACTGCAGTACTTTACTGTATCACTGCAGTACTTTACTGTGTCACTGCAGTACTTTACTGTGTCACTGCAGTACTTTACTGTGTATCACTGCAGTACTTTACTGTGTCACTGCAGTACTTTACTGTATCACTGCAGTACTTTACTGTATCACTGCAGTACTTTACTGTATCACTGCAGTACTTTACTGTGTCACTGCAGTACTTTACTGTATCACTGCAGTACTTTACTGTGTCACTGCAGTACTTTACTGTATCACTGCAGTACTTTACTGTGTCACTGCAGTACTTTACTGTATCACTGCAGTACTTTACTGTGTCACTGCAGTACTTTACTGTACTGTATCACTGCAGTACTTTACTGTATCACTGCAGTACTTTACTGTATCACTGCAGTACTTTACTGTACAGTACTTTACTGCAGTACTTTACTGTATCACTGCAGTACTTTACTGTGTCACTGCAGTACTTTACTGTATCACTGCATACTTTACTGTACTTTACTGTGTCACTGCAGTACTTTACTGTATCACTGCAGTACTTTACTGTATCACTGCAGTACTTTACTGTGTCACTGCACTACTGTCACTGCAGTTACTCACTGCACTGTACTTTACTGTGTCACTGCAGTACTTTACTGTACTCACTGCAGTACTTTACTGTACTACTGTTCACTGCAGTACTTTACTGTATCACTGCACTGCAGTACTTTACTCTGTCACTGCAGTACTTTACTGTGTCACTGTACACTGCAGTACTTTACTGTATCACTGCAGTACTTTACTGTATCACTGCAGTACTTTACTGTGTCACTGCAGTACTTTACTGTATCACTGCAGTACTTTACTCTGTCACTGCAGTACTTTACTGTGTCACTGCAGTACTTTACTGTATCACTGCAGTACTTTACTGTATCACTGCAGTACTTTACTGTGTCACTGCAGTACTTTACTGTATCACTGCAGTACTTTACTGTATCACTGCAGTACTTTACTGTGTCACTGCAGTACTTTACTGTGTCACTGCAGTACTTTACTGTGTCACTGCAGTACTTTACTGTATCACTGCAGTACTTTACTGTGTCACTGTACAGTACTTTACTGTACTGCAGTACTTTACTGTATCACTGCAGTACTTTACTCTGTCACTGCAGTACTTTACTGTATCACTGCAGTACTTTACTGTCACTGCAGTACTTTACTGTGTCACTGCAGTACTTTACTGTGTCACTGCAGTACTTTACTGTGTCACTGCAGTACTTTACTCTGTCACTGCAGTACTTTACTGTATCACTGCAGTACTTTACTGTATCACTGCAGTACTTTACTGTGTCACTGCAGTACTTTACTGTGTCACTGCAGTACTTTACTGTGTCACTGCAGTACTTTACTGTATCACTGCAGTACTTTAACTCTGTCACTGCAGTACTTTACTGTGTACACTGCACTGCAGTACTTTACTGTGTCACTGCAGTACTTTACTGTATCACTGTACTCACTGCAGTACTTTACTGTGTCACTGCAGTACTTTACTGTATCACTGCAGTACTTTACTGTGTCACTGCAGTACTTTACTGTATCACTGCAGTACTTTACTGTATCACTGCAGTACTTTACTGTACACTGTCACTGCAGTACTTTACTGTGTCACTGCAGTACTTTTACTGTATCACTGCAGTACTTTACTGTACTCACTTTACTGCAGTACTTTACTGTGTCACTGCAGTACTTTACTGTGTCACTGCAGTACTTTACTGTGTCACTGCAGTACTTTACTGTACACTGCAGTACTTTACTGTACTCACTGTCACTGCAGTACTTTACTGTGTCACTGCAGTACTTTACTGTATCACTGCAGTACTTTACTGTCACTGCAGTACTTTACTGTGTCACTGCAGTACTTTATTTGATTGGAGTTCGAGGTTCAGGTCTGGTTCAGATCTGGATTGGGGACAAAGTGTTTACGTCCAAACCTCAGGGTCATGCGGAGCGGGGTCAGAGGTCAAAGGTCAGAGTGCGTGCGCCGCTCGGGGGTCGGGGGTCGTACCTGAAGACGTCGGGGCCCCATCCGGCGACGGCGGTGAAGACGCGGGGCCCGATGTCCCTGGTGGGGTTGATGGCGTAGCCGCTGTTGCTCCCGGCCGACATCCCGATGAGCAGCACCAGGAGCCCCACGGCCACCGGCTCGCCCCCTGCTGGACACGGCTGGTTCCTGCGGTCGCTCAGAGCCGACAGACAGAGCAGCAGCATGGCCGTCCCGAACACCTGCAAGTACACACGTACAAGTACTACTACTACTACTGCAAATACTTACTACTACTACTACAGACAGAGCAGCAGCATGGCCGTCCCGAACACCTGCAAGTACACACGTACAACTACTACTACTACTGCAAATACTACTACTACTACTACAAAATACTACTACTCTACTGCTGCAAATACTCCTCGTCCCACAGTCTCACCTGGTCGCTGAAGCCTCCGCTCAGGGACAGGTACGGGGCCGGATACGTGGCGAAGATTCCGGCCGTGGCCCCGGGGCCCGAGACCGTCAGGTTCCCCCCGCAGTAACTCTGGATGGCCTCTGGGGGCACCACACACAACAAGACTGAACCAGGACTGAACCAGGACTAAAACAGGACTGAAACTGGACTAAACCAGGACTGAAACTGGACTAAAACTGGACTAAACCAGGACTGAAACTGGACTAAACCAGGACTAAACCAGGACTAAACCAGGACTAAACCAGGACTAAACCAGGACTAAACCAGGACTAACCCAGGTCTAAAATCAGGTCTAAATCCAGGTCTAAACCAGGACTAAACCAGGTCTAAACCAGGATTAAACCAGGTCTAAACCAGGACTAAACCAGGACTTGGTCTGACCGTAGTACACGGCGTAGACGGTTGCCGCGGCGAGGAAGGAGCCAATGAACTGAGCCGTGATGTAAAGTGGGAGGAGCCTCCACCTCAGGGTCCCGAAGACGCAGGAAGAGAAAGAGACGGCGGCGTTCATGTGAGCGCCTGCAAGTACAAAAGTACTTTTACTACTAATACTACTAATACTAATACTAATACTGCTACTGCTACTGCTACTACTACTACTACTACTACTACTACTACTACTACTTCTGTTAGTGTTCGTGCCGTTGGTCGTCACCTGAGACTCCGCCCCCCACGTGGACGCCCATGGCGACGGCGAGACCGAAGCTCAGGTTTATACTGATGTAGTGACCGAACTCTCCTTTACCTGTGACCACCTGAGCCACGGAGCACAGCCCGAACACCTGCACAAACAAACAAACAAACAAACAAACAGGTAAACAACAACACCTGACGACACATGACAACACCTGACAACACCTGACAACACCTGACGACACCTGAAAACACCTGAAAACACCTGAAAACACCTGTGACCACCTGAGCCACGGAGCACAGCCCGAACACCTGCACAAACAAACAAACAAACAAACAAACAAACAAACAGGTAAACAACAACACCTGACGACACCTGACGACACCTGACAACACCTGACAACACCTGACAACACCTGACGACACCTGACGACACCTAAACCAGGACCAAAACAGGATTAAAACAGGTTCAGAACAGACCTGAACCAGGACTAAACCAGGACTAAAGCAGGACCTCCTCTGGTCCTTCAGGTCATGACCAGACTCTTGGTTGTTTTATATTTTAGATCCTGCTCCACACTGTGAGATGAGCAGATGTGGAGGAGCCGCAGGAGCCCAGAGGAGCCACCAGACCATCTGAAACACCAAACCATGAAAACAACCAGATCATCTGAAACACCAAACCATGAAAACAACCAGATCATCTGAAACACCAAACCATGAAAACAACCAGATCATCTGAAAACACCAAACATGAAAACAACCAGATCATCTGAAACACCAAACCATGAAAACCACCAGATCATCTCAAACACCAAACCATGAAAACAACCAGATTCATCTCAAAACACCAAACCATGAAAACCACCAGATCATCTCCAAACACCAAACCATGAAAACAACCAGATCATCTCAAACACCAAACCATGAAAACCCACCAGATCATCTCAAACACCAAACCATGAAAACCACCAGATCATCTGAAACACCAAACCATGAAAACCACCAGATCATCTCAAAACACCAAACCATGAAAACAAACCAGATCATCTGAAACACCAAACCATGAAAAACCACCAGATCATCTCAAACACCAAACATGAAAACAACCAGATCATCTCAAACACCAAACCATGAAAACCACCAGATCATCTGAAACACCAAACCATGAAAACCACCAGATCATCTCAAAACACCAAACCATGAAAACAACCAGATCATCTCAAACACCAAACCATGAAAACCACCAGATCATCTCAAAACACCAAACATGAAAACCACCAGATCATTCTGAAACACCAAACCATGAAAACAACCAGATCATCTGAAACACCAAACCATGAAAACAACCAGATCATCTCAAACACCAAACCATGAAAACCACCAGATCATCTGAAACACCAAACCATGAAAACCACCAGATCATCTGAAACACCAAACCATGAAAACAACCAGATCATCTCAAACACCAAACCATGAAAACCACCAGATCATCTGAAACACCAAACCATGAAAACAACCAGATCATCTCAAACACCAAACCATGAAAACAACCAGATCATCTGAAACACCAAACCATGAAAACCACCAGATCATCTCAAACACCAAACCATGAAAACAACCAGAAACCCAGATCATCTGAAACACCAAACCATGAAAACCCACCAGATCATCTGAAACACCAAACCATGAAAACAACCAGATCATCTCAAACACCAAACCATGAAAAACCACCAGATCATCTGAAAACACCAAACCATGAAAACCACCAGATCATCTCAAACACCAAACCATGGAAAACAAACCAGATCATCTCAAACACCAAACCATGAAAACCACCAGATCATCTCAAAACACCAAACCATGAAAACAACCAGATCATCTGAAACACCAAACCATGAAACCCCAGATCATCTCAAACACCAAACCATGAAAACACCAGATCATTCTCAAACACCAAACCATTGAAAACAACCAGATCATCTGAAACACCAAACCATGAAAACCAAACCAGATCATCTCAAAACACCAAACCATGAAAACCACCAGATCATCTCAAACACCAAACCATGAAAACCACCAGATCATCTCAAACACCAAACCATGAAAACAACCAGATCATTCTGAAACACCAAACCATGAAACAAACCAGATCATCTGAAACACCAAAACCATGAAAACCACCAGATCATCTCAAACACCAAACCATGAAAACCAACCAGATCATCTGAAACACCAAACCATGAAAACCACCAGATCATCTCAAACACCAAAACCATGAAAACAAACCAGATCATCTCAAACACCAAACCATGAAAACCAACCAGATCATCTCAAACACCAAACCATGAAAACCACCAGATCATCTCAAACACCAAACCATGAAAACAACCAGATCATCTCAAACACCAAACCATGAAAACCACCAGATCATCTCAAACACCAAACCATGAAAACAACCAGATCATCTCAAACACCAAACCATGAAAACCACCAGATCATCTGAAACACCAAACCATGAAAACAACCAGATCATCTCAAACACCAAACCATGAAAACAACCAGATCATCTCAAACACCAAACCATGAAAACCACCAGATCATCTCAAACACCAAACCATGAAAACAACCAGATCATCTCAACACCAACCATGAAAACCACCAGATCATCTGAAACACCAAACCATGAAAAACCACCAGATCATCAACACCAAACCATGAAAACAACCAGATCATCTGAAACACCAAACCATGAAAACAACCAGATCATCTCAAACACCAACCATGAAAACAACCAGATCATCTCAAACACCAAACCATGAAAACCACCAGATCATCTGAAACACCAAACCATGAAAACCACCAGATCATCTGAAACACCAAACCATGAAAACCACCAGATCATCTGAAACACCAAACCATGAAAACAACCAGATCATCTGAAACACCAAACCATGAAAACCACCAGATCATCTGAAACACCAAACCATGAAAACCACCAGATCATCTGAAACACCAAACCATGAAAACCACCAGATCATCTCAAACACCAAACCATGAAAACAACCAGATCATCTGAAACACCAAACCATGAAAACAACCAGATCATCTGAAACACCAAACCATGAAAACAACCAGATCATCTCAAACACCAAACCATGAAAACCACCAGATCATCTGAAACACCAAACCATGAAAACAACCAGATCATCTCAAAACACCAAACCATGAAAAACCACCAGATCATCTGAAACACCAAACCATGAAAACCCAGATCATCTGAAACACCAAACCATGAAAACCACCAGATCATCTGAAACACCAAACCATGAAAACCACCAGATCATCTCAAACACCAAACCATGAAAACAATCATCTGAAACACCAAACCATGAAAACCACCAGATCATCTGAAACACCAAACCATGAAAACCACCAGATCATCTCAAACACCAAGATCATCTCAAACACCAATGAAAACCACCAGATCATCTCAAAGGAAAACACCAGATCATCTCAAACACCAAACCATGATAACCACCAGTTTTCAGCCTCACAAACAGTTTTCACTTTTAGACGTTTTAATCTTTGTTGACAATTCATCTCAAAACAAATGAAAGAAAAACAAGGACAGACCCCCCCCCTCCGTTTGTCCCGTTTGTTCCGTTTGTTCCGTTTGTTCGTCGTCGTGTGTTTTGTTTTGTTTTGTCAGCTGACCTCTCCCCCCGTGACCTCTGACCTTTACCCCACTTCCACTTTCCCGTTTCTCCCCCTGAACCGACCAATCAGACGCGGCGGCTCCGACACGTGACCCGAGCCCCGCTGCAGGTCACGAGGTCCGGGTCACATGGTCCGGGTCACATGGTCCGGGTCACACATGTTCAGTGTTATCAGCGCCACATGGAGTTTAACCCGGATGCCCCGCCTGATTCTGCAGTACAAATAAATACTGCAGTACAAATAAATACTGCAGTACTAAGAAACTGCACTGCATGTACTTTTACTCACTCAATATTTACTTTACTACAGACTCAGGTTTAGAAAGAAACTAAACCAGGACTAAACCAGGACTAAACCAGGACTAAACCAGGACTAAACCAGGACTAAACCAGGACTAAACCAGGACTAAACCAGGACTAAACCAGGACTAAACCAGGACTAAACCAGGACTAAACCAGGACTAAACCAGGTCTAAACCAGGACTAAACCAGGACTAAACCAGGACTAAACCAGGACTAAACCAGGACTGAACCAGGACTAAACCAGGTCTAAACCAGGACCAAACCAGGACTAAACCAGGACTCAAACCAGGACTAAACCAGAACTAAACCAGGATAAAAATAGATCCAAAACAGAACTGAACCAGCATCAAAACTGGACACACTGGTGCGTCAGGTTGTGTCAGATGCCCTCCCCGTGTGTGTGTGTGTGTAGATTGTGTCAGATGCCCTCCCCGTGTGTGTGTGTGTTAGATTGTGTCAGATGCCCTCCCCGTGTGTGTGTGTGTGATTTGTCAGATGTGTGTGTGTGTGTGTTAGATTGTGTCAGATGCCCTCCCCGTGTGTGTGTGTGTGTGTTAGATTGTGTCAGATGCCCTCCCCGTGTGTGTGTGTGTTAGATTGTGTCAGATGCCCTCCCCGTGTGTGTGTGTGTCAGATGCCCTCCCCGTGTGTGTGTGTGTGTGTTAGATTGTGTCAGATGCCCTACCATCATGACGTAGGTGCAGAGTGTCTCGGCGAGTCCGAGTCTCAGGACCTGGTTCTGGATCTGGATTCTGGACTTGAGGGTTTTCCTCTGGACCGAGGACCCGAGCTCCAACGACTG